ATCACCACACACTTTCCCACAGCAATGCGACCCTACCCAAGTTTACAACATCCGCATTCCCCTACAAGGACAAGCCACACTGACAGCTATCGGGCCGATCTCCGCACCACTCGCATCTCCATCCAACAGCACACCCACCATTTATTGCCCGCCGACACCCACCAACATACGACCCAATCATCCAGAAGCGGGCACGGGACCTCCGGGACCCTGGTGGGATGATGCTGGAGCGCCACCGTGAGAGAGCGCCAGACCTAATACAAGGTCTTTGATTCTATGTACATGGTTTTTGACCCAATGCCTCCAGCGTACTGACCCTTCCAGCTATGAAAAAATACTTTCAGTATTGATTCTATGTTCGTACTTATTTTGCTCTTCGAGATTTCTGATTTTCGTTTTTCTGACGCTTGCCACTCGAGCTTTGACCGACTTTGCAAGTCACAATTTTGACTTTTCTCCAGTCTCAATTTTTCAACTTTTCAGCCATTGTGGTTCAAACAATCAGTTTCGACTACCTTCGTGCTTATTGCTCCTTCTTGTACAGAACTACAGTGTTTCCCATCATGGACGCGCATCAACAATGGTGGCAACAATACTATGGCACCACGATACCCACTGCCGGCTATGGACCTCTCACCAATGCAGTTCGTCATCACTACCAACACCCGTATCACCAACATCATCAACATCACGCCAACATCCCAGCTGATCCACCCACTGCCTCTCCAGCACCACCAGCAACATTTCCACCCGAACCCCTACCCCCACCCGCAGCATCTCACCACCCAACGCCTCCACAGCTTGGAGTGGTACCCCCCCAACATCCCCAACCTACCTGACACATGGACTCCCAGCGACACACATTTGGATACGAATACCGTACATGGTCACACATTGTTTCGGACGATTCAGCCGACGCAATGGTCCAGGAAATACAACCTCGCAGGACAACAAGTCCTCGATATTTTTCCATGGCAGCTCAGCCGTTTTGGCCTCCAGGACCACAGCCTACGCATCCTGTCCCAAGGACGCTACACAGGCATTGTCACCACCAGATCTATCGCGGAGGCGGTCTTCACTTCACAATTGCTACCGGAGATGAGGGCCCACAACCTGGACATCGACAACATCGCTGAATATTTGCACCAACAAGCAGATCAGTCCATTCCAAACAAAACCACAGAAGCCAAACAATTCATGCAACCTCTTATTTCTCGCATCATTGACTTCCTACGAGGCCTTACACCACCAGCCGGCGAAGGCACAGCACTCCGAAAGCTCCAGCAACAGACAGATCGCTTACAACAACAAGAGAGCGAACTCCAGCGCGCTCGCGACAAGCTGAAGAATCATGGCATTGCACTTACACCAACCAAGCCAGGGTCACACCATGCCCCATCATCCGTCACCCACACACCACATCTCCCACTCCCAGCCCCTGCCGCCATCACAACCACCACCATTCTTAATCCCACCACACAAACACTCCATGACAACTCACCAGCCAACTATGCAGCAGCCGGCATTCAAAAATGGCTCAAGACATTACCACCAGCCACTCAGACACAAGTCACCAACATCCAGCAGATTCTTCGAGATGAACATATCACTAAAGAACAACTCCAAGAAGCAGCTACCCGCTACGGCATCCCGCTTGCTCGGGTCCTCAAGCTTCCCCCACGTTCACTACAGCAACTGGTGGCCGCGGGTTCGGCATTGGCAGCCTGACTCGTACAACAAGCGCTGCATCAACCAACACATCACACCCTACAATCTTTGACAACATTACACACAGCGCTATCACACTTTGTCCATTCCACCCCCTACATTGACAAGTCACACGCTATTTTTTCTGTCAGTCTTATTCACCTTACATGCCTCTTTGCCTTTCCTTCGCAAACACATCACTCTATACAATGGCGCTCCCGTTTCAACCAACTACAAGTTACACCACACACTTATCACTACCAAATGTTCACACATCCCAATGCGGTCTATGCCAAGCTCTTTTTCAACCAACATCACACAAGACACCAGTACCACCAACATGGACATACATACATCGGCTCTACCAGCATCACTATCCCCAAGCGAGAATACAATCGTCACGCCAAACTCAAACAATTACACAATAACCACCCAATTTCAGCTGAACTTTCTCTACGCTACTGGCACTCCAAGAACAACCTCCACCACTACAGCACTATTTACCTTTCCCATCACGACACCTATGATCAAGCATGGACCTACGAACACCTGCGGATCCAAGAATGGCAACCTACACTCAATTGGCCCTATATCCAACGACACCTCAAACTCAAAGCCTCAGGTTGGCAATTCTCAAAACACCGCACCACTTTCACACGGATGTCCACTCACAAACGTCTCTTCCAACGGCTACGACGACGACAACACACCATTAAACAACCCCACCTTCACACAAGTCAACGCCTACACGCCCTGACAGTTTTACGCGAGCTCAGCAAGCATACACTTTCATCTTTTCAAACATCAACAGCCATCCGCAGCGGCAAATACACTGATCTCGAAATTTACGCCTTCCGTCGAATGGCCGCCAGCTTAGAGGAACCGGATCGATCACGTGTTCTTCACCTTCTCCACTCAGCGCTCAGCTTTCGCAATCTCACTCCACCCAAAGCCAACAAACCCTTTACCATTCCTTTCCTCTCCCACAGTACCTTCTCGTCTTCCACGGAAAAATGGCTTCGCACACTGATCCAACACCACATGCATCACGTCATTCCCTTCCACCCCCCTACTACCAAACTACGCGAAGCAGCACACAAGACTTTGCGTTCCCGACTCTACAACCACAAACGTTGGGAAGAACTCTTCTCCACACATCCCACAGCAGCTGACATGCCATGCAGCTGCCACCACATGCACACCTTGCTTCGTCCCAACCACACACCGCCGCTCTACGATGGTCACTACGTGCTCACACTTGAAGACCTACAGCTCCCCAGCCATCTTGAGCTATTCCTTCAAGCCAACATGAACAGCACTTTCTTTCCCACAAAGACACAATATTTCCAACACTTTGAACAACAACTCACATCCTGGCTACGACACCATGGTCTACCCACAGCCCTCCATCAACACAGCCTACCTTTTCTACACCAACAATGGAAACAACACATCGACAATCTTCTATACACACCCCGCTTTACATCCCGCAACGTCACACAGCTTCAACAGTTTCTTACAGACAAGCTGGTACTCCATCATGCTGACCATGAACTACAAAACCTACGACTCTTTTGCCCACAGCACTACTTCCACGGATGTCTCACCACATGGAATACACCACAACTTTTTCTCCCACTACCAGATCTCACAGCCCAACAACTCCACCAATTTCTCACACAATCTTTCCCAGCCAGCATTCGCAAAGCATACCCCTGGGGCTTCCGCACAAAATTCTACACACCACATGGAGTAGTTTTCCTCAAACAAAAGAAATCCTGGCGAAAGGGTAGAACAGTCATCAGCTATTTCAGATCCATTGCGGGCACATTATTACGAGCCACCTCCAAAGCACTAGACATTATGCTCCTTCATCTTCTACCACAACATCCAGGCCAGTTATCTATACCCAACCTTTGGCAACACCTCCACAACCATTTCCGGACCACACCCGAAGACATCCACCTCACACCGATCAACGACGACCTGGTCGGCTTCTTCAACAGCGTACCTCAACAACGCCTTGTCGATGCAGTCATCAGCCTGTGCCACCGCTGGAAAGCACAACACAACACCACTACCATCACCATCGATGTTCAGTCCACCGGCAATCCCATCCAACACTCACACATCGGTCGCCACTACATCCACCACCCACAGCAACGCACACTTGACACACAACACATTCCTCTTATCGTTCAACAAGCTCTTCACTCATGCATTTTCCAAGCTTGCAACACCTACTACAAACAAATTCAAGGAGCCGGCATCGGCAGTCAGCTCTCACCAGCACTTTGCAATGTGGCAATCACGCTCATCGAACACACTTGGCAAACCACATACCACAACTTCTTACACCAACCAAGCCTTCACTTGCTCAACACTCGCTATGTCGACAACCGATACATCTTGCTCAACGAACAATACAGATCAGCACTCCCCATCACTACATTGGCCCATCCTGAATTTTATGAACAACCAGTTGAAATAGAGCCAGTGGACGACGACCATCTACTCGGTTTCTTGATTGACCCTCTCAACAGAACAGTCACCTTCCAACTCCCCACCCATTCCTGGCAGATTCGTGATCCGCAGTCAGCAGGGAGTCACAGACTACGCCTTTCAGGCTTACAATCACGCCACCACACACTACAAAAATACACTTACCCAAAACATCTTGCACACACGACAGCACAGAAGTTGATGCAGCTATATATGGCCAAAGGCCATTCACCAGCACACTGCGCCGCGGCGCTGCGGCCAAGAGGAAAAAGACTATGTGCCAGCACTTTCGCAGACTGCTGTGATATGTATTTTACTGTATTGAACCTTTCAATGTCAAGCACTTCCACTATTTGTTATCCAGGCCCTACCTGATCCGATCTAGTTGCGCCGATACGGCTCAGTGTGTGTGTCCACTCCTGTTTCCAAGGACACTACTCTAGTTTTTCTTTACTAATCTACCCTACAAGCTTTTCTGTACAGAAGCAGGGGGACATAGCGTGCGTTCAGGGACCATGTCCAACGAAGCTACCTGACGCACGGGATATGAGAGCTGATCACTCTCACGTACCTGCAATTTTCCAATTGTTTGAGATTTCTAAGTCAGTGCAACGCCGTCTCATACGTTGTTACCTGCAGTATCTAGATTTAAAGGGCTAATGCACACCGCGAAGCTACCTGAAATCACGCTCCACGGAGCAACCTTCTCAAGTGTGTGTGTGCCTTTGTTTTCATTCATGGACCACTGTGACTTCAGAAGGATGTGCCCCAGCAGAAGTTCATGGCCCTAGGCCTTGCGCTACTTCATCATGGACCGCGTCCTGACAATCTTCAACTGCTTCATGTTCATCGTCGCCGAGTGCCCCTCAACTGTAGCGTAAGGCGTAAGGTTGGGAACGCTTGATTGAAGGCCTCCCAAGAATGAACTGTGGTAGGTCACGCAGGTCAAAGTTTGTCGGGGTACCTAAAGTACAGTCTATGTGCTGGTGCAGATTCACAAGTTCAGGTTTCAAAATGCGTTACAGTCTATGCTCCTACGGTGCCCATTGGCATACTTGTTCAGGGTCAACCCAAGTATCGACAAGGCAGTTGACAAGGCGTCCGACTTCCAGGTTCAGAAGAACCAAACCCAGAGAGCGCCTTATTGGAAAGAATCAATAAAAAACGCTAATTTCAATAATGTGACTAGAAACCAATAAAATCAATGATGTTATTGGTTTGTGCTTTTTCATCCTTTATTGGAGCAACCAATAACTTTTGAGGAGTGACCAATAAGGTTCCTTATTGGTTTAACCAATAAGCTCTGATGGTTTTTGGACAAACTTGCCAAGTTGTGCTGACTCATATGTACACCTTTTTTAACCACAACAGAGGGCACAGCAAAAGCACAAAGCCCTTTTGCAGGGCCAACGCCCTTTGACAGGCCCAATGCCTTTTGCAAGACTTTAGTCTTCACTGTCAGAAGCTGCGCATGCAAAGTGTGCACCTTTGTTTCTCAGGTGAAATGCCAGCCTGAACCTCCAGCACACTTTCAATGGTACTTGCCACCCTGGAGTTCCATTGAGGGTGGCATGAGCAAGGGCACTGATGTGCCCTACCATGGTTTCCCCTTGGTAGCAAGAGTAAAATTTTGGATTATACCACTTGAAGAAGATGTGCAGGTGTTGTGCCCAGTGCATTTTGGGTATAGTGTTCCACATGAGGACTCCCGAGTTCATGCTCATGACTGAGAGTCTGGAGTAATGCAGGAGGCAATTGTCCATGTTCTTCCTGAAAGCCTTTGCATCATTGGATGAAGGATGTAAACCAGCATTGTCCATAACCTCATAGACACAGTTCAAGTGCTTCAGGCATTGATACCTGTGTTCAGAATAAGAATCTGCTGGATCCCTGTACTCTGCACAAATCTGCAGAAAGACAGGAACTAGCCACCTGCACTGCTTGGCTTTAATCCCAGACAAGGATGGAAAGTTGTCCCACTTAGCCTTGACATTGCAAAAGGCAGACATGGGAAATCTCCTGATTTTATGTTCACTCAAGATTCCCAGCTCATTGTAGTGTGTCGAAATCTTCCCAAAAAGTGTTTTGAGTCTAAAGTCATGGGAGCCAGGCCAGTCAGACCTGAAG